ATTTATTCGTAAAATTACTTTCTAATTTCAGGGGTGGGGACAGAATAAACCGATGAAATGATTTCGTATTTTTCCTTTTTTTTTTTAATTGGTAACTCATTCTAATTCGGATCACTGCATTTCAAGATAAAGAATAAAATACGAAAACAAAAAAAAAAGGGGAGAGTTTTAAATCAAGTCAATAAAATTAATTGAGTGTAGTCAGTTGAAAGATGGACAGATTAGTTTGTCCAAAACGAACAGTGTTCTACTGTTAATGGCATCAATTAGGGCAAATTGGAAATTTTATCCCTTAATCTATTTTTACGACTATAAAAAAATCACTTCAGTTCCGTCGTTGGGTATTCGCAGAATAAAGTCAACGAGCGTTCTCTCATTGTGACGAGGTTTTTCGCTATCGTTCCAAATAATTCGCTTACTGGACTTGACATTAACGGGTCCAGACGTGATTTTTTCGGGCGGTTTACGAGGACCATTTCGGGAAAATACGAGCAAAAAAATTTCGGCCTTAAGAGCCTGATATCACTTCCATATGAGAAATTTGAATGTTTGCTACGCAGAAAAACGGACGAAATATTTGTATCAGAAATATACGATATCATGAAAAAACATTTTTACATATATATATACATATATATAATCGAATGAGAGCTTTATTTTACAAAATTTTTAATATAATAATTTTTTTTAGCTTTCCTTTACACTGCTGTCTTATTGTTATTGAGAGAACATTAAAATCCGTGAGTGCAAGAAATATGTATTGACAAAATTCAATGTTAGTCCAATAATTCTTGTGAGAGAACCTTTTTTTTATTTTTACTCAATTGTGAGTAAGAGGCACCCAGATTATGAGACAGCACGATAATTGTTTTTCTCCGTGTACCCACAAATACCAGCAATAGCATTTGGATACCAAATACAAACTACGAGCACTTTTAGTTGCAAAATGTGTCTGGATAATGAAAACTGATACTTTTTACCTCACAATTTAATCTCTCGTGATCTTGGTAATTATATTCAGACATTACAAGGTCAAGTACACTCTTGAAATGACCTTGAAGATAATTATCAAGATCATGGTAGAGGTCATTATTTCGTGCTCCTCTTTAAAACTAACGACTTTTATACTGATCAAGTGCTACTTTGATCTGTAGCTTAGAAACTTTTAATTTTTTGTCGTCCTACCCATGGGAACTTTAGATCAGATGAAAGGCATGAGGACCATCTAAATACAATCAATTTGACCATAAGGATTGTGCGTAGTCCTTTACCTTGTATAGTCAAAATTTGTAGCAGAAAACCTTCGGCGTGCCAGTTGAAATCGCTTTTGGTTAGTTTTTATCTGACTTCAAAAATAAGCTTAACTTTCCTGAAAAAACCCATTTCCAATGGGAATATTATCCTTCTTTCGGGATCAAATAAAGAATAGGTATAATAGAAAGAAAAATCTGACGTGTTCTTTTTTCTTATTACAGGATCGTCATGTGAAAGAGACGCCCGGAAACCTGATGGATCGGGAGCCGGAAGTCGATCCTAGTCAAGATTACCAGCTCCTTCTCGGCTACGAAAACAATACCCATACAGTGTTACGATTCAGGAGACGGCTCGACACATGCGATTATCATGACATTCCAATCACGGTAAGAACAAAAAACGAACGGACCGAAAACCGACACTCCCGTTACAAAACTCGCGAATTGACTCATATGTCTTGTCTTCTCCTATCTGCACTCACGGACAGTCGTCGCTACTTTTCATCGATCGCTCTGTCTTGCCCTAATCTTCATCGTGAACTTGACCGTAACAAAGTAGCGCACGTTCCTTCGGATAAAATCGTAATNACTTCCATAGAGTCCTCTGTTCTCCTATTCTTTCCAATACCTCTTCATTTCTAACCTTTTCTACCCACGATATCCTCATCATCCGCCTATAACACTACATTTCGAACGCTTCTAACCTTTTCTTTTCCGCCGCGCCCACCGTCCATGTTTCGCACCCGTACAATGGCGTGCTCCAAACATATACCTTTAACAACCTCATTTCTCATTAGTAAAATATATTTCTCATTCAATTTTGTATTTTTTTCATCAATAATAAAGTTCATTTTTCCAAAAATCTTTAATAGGGTAGCAATAATTTTTCCCCGTGGGGGCACAAGCGGTATTCCTCATAATGCGCAAATGCAGCACGGCGTTATATGCCCCTTCCTTGCCCCAGGGGGCAACCTCAGGGGTTCCACAAGGGTTAATAGGTTACCCACTTAGGGACCCCATATGCACCCCCCTCAAAATTTTAGTCGGGTAGCTTATTGTTGAGAGATAGGTTCGCTTATAATTAGTTAAGTCAAAATGATTTTTTTCTTTATAAAATTATGGCAACTGTATAATGTGAAACTTATGTTCTAAAGTATCTATTATTAGAACGGTACAAAATGGTTGTTGAACGTTTTTCACTGTAACCAGTTATTTAATAAAGAAGCGGGAAAGATGACACGAGACAGGCTCTATTTAAAACTTGATGAATCCTTTTAATCCTGCTGAACATGCTGCCGTCGGATCACGTTAAACTAATTTCGGTTATTAGCGGCGAAAACCATATGTTTCACTTTTACAGGGCCCATTAAGCTGTCACTTCTCTTTCACGGCCTACTATTTCTTAAGCCCCTTCTTCCGCAAATTTCTTGGGCGGCTATGATTCAGCAATAAATTAATCATGATGATTTTCATAAAAGCTCCAGGAATTAGCAAACAAATGTTCACGTCTCGTCACTTTGTGCCCCCTTTTAAAGATTATATTACAAGACTGTGACGTCACAATTGCTACCGTCATCCCTTGTTCTTAAATATGATGTTTTTATAAAACCATTAAGTGTTAGAATTTCTTTCTTTCCTTATAAAGCAACTTAAATATTCAAGCTCTTGTTTCTGTCAACAAAGAAAAAAATTGAACACAGGCGCACTATTTCCCGAGATAAAAATGTTCAGTCTCTCAGAGTCTCTGAAAGCGAGACTCGAGTCTCTGTCTCTCATCGAGTCTCTCTGGTGTCGCTGAGAGAGACTGTCGAGAGACTGTCAAAAAAACTGTTTAGCGTTTCTAACCGAAAGACTCGAGTTGCTTATAGAGAGCTCCTCATTTCGTATNCGGACTCACTCACCACGCGATATACCGTTTACCCCCTCCACGCGGGAGTAACTCTTTTTCGTGATAGAAAAAATCGTAATACCCCCCTCCCGTCTATATAGATGTTTCACTACAAAATAAATTCCCTTTTAGCACTTTACTGATCCGTTTACTAAATAACAAGTGAACTTTGAAATGCCGTATATTTTAATTGCATTAGGTTAGTAAATCGAATTCATTACGACATTATGGAGCTGTAGACATCAATATTTGATATTATGTTCAAGAATATAATGCTTGAAATAATTAAATACTCCAATATCATCGATCGGCGTTGATCTTTGATACTAAGAATTATTTTTGTTTCAGAATGATACCATGAGAGTGATTTGGGCGTTCCATAAACAAGAGCCGATTTGTGGTGCAGTAGGACCTGGTTCTTTACCTCGTCACGAGTTAGAAGTACATGGAATTCAGTCTTTATTTCTTGTTCAAAGGGCCGATCAGGACCTTCCAGGTCCCGAAGAAACTGCGAATGTGTGGGAGCTGAGGAATCCTGCGGTTGAACCTCCAGCTCCCGGTGACACCCTGTATTGGTGCAAAGTATTCCGCCTGCCCGTCTCCAGGAAACATCATCTCATAAGGGTGAGTTACAATACATATAACTTATGGAATTTGCAAGGCGTTTATCACCTTTTAAAGTTTCAAACAAGAGGAATTACAAATAATGATATATCTATATTCCCACCAGCCACTAATGCTAGTGAACGGAAGGTAGGGCGGAAGGCCCTCTTCAGACTCCTTTCAGGAATCGTGGAAATGAGTGGGTGGTGGTTCGGGTGAGAAAGATGAGACGGACGAAATGAAGACAGGAGAGATTGAAAGATAATCCGTGGAATATTATTGCCCCAGCATTCGCCTAACTGATCCAAGAAAACCACAGAAAAATTTGGACCAAAGCAGACGGACCCGGAATCGAACCGGCGTCCTCCCGAATACTAAGCAATGAGCTAAACCTCTAGGCTCTAGGCCATGCCGTTCGGTGCAATAATAGACAAAATTTAAAGCTATATTTTGTTAGGGCAAGGGAAGGAGACTGTACATGATACTCCGGGAGGCCTTGCGACTTTGCTTAATCCACTGCCGACCAACGCAATATGTTGCGTGTGTCTCTCGCCGCGAGGACTACGCGATTACCACTGGTTGAATTGAAAACCTCATTTTTTGAAGTCAATTGAAAATTTGTCGCTAATAAGCACTCGCATATATTTAAATGAATATGCACAGGGGAACGAAGTTTTTCAAATCTGTTTAGATAATTGTTTTTGTTTGTCCCATACTGTTGTAATGGACTAATGGGCAAGTTATAAGGAGCACATAAATGTGCTTTTTCTAGCATTTGTATGAGATATCTCCATAGAAATGTGTGCCAAAGGCATGTTCGCTTCCCGTTTATTTTTGAAGCAGTAGGAGTTTGTAAAAGTTTTCAAAAACTCTGCTAAAAGGTTATAGTCTCAATCTACTTTTCGACTTCGAGTTCTGAAAAGCAAGTACTCGCAGATAATATTTCTGTCACAATGTAAACGGATGTATTTTCCATGCTGTTTGTGAAATGAAGAAAATGTACAGAGAGTTTCAAAGTACGATCGATGTTAAGTTGGACATCTGCATGAGTTTTATAGTGTGTTCAACATATTACTTCGATCTTTACAACACTAGAAGTTACATTTTCCGAAGAGGAGATAATCGTTAAAAATCACTTCATGATGATAAAGAGAAGACCGCAGCAACCTCATTCGTTCAGCTGAACTGGCTTTTCATAAATAACGTCTCCCTCGGTGTTATGCAAATGACTACCGTCACAACGTTGTTCCTTCTACATAATGGTACATAAAAACCAAAAAGAGAGAGAGAGAGAGACAGATAAAGAAGAAAAGAAATCATCCGAAATGTACATATATCTGATGTGCTGCCGTCCACAATGAATACTGCCATTGTACAGAGTGAATTTAAATGCCCCTGTAAACTTCTGAATGTAAACAGTGGTGCCCTTGACAAGTCTCGAGAGACTTTGAAAGAATTTTCTCCTCTACTATCGATCAACACGACACTGAATTGAGCTCAATACGATGTAGATGTATGCACGGAGATCTATACATAATATGTCATTGTTTGCTCTTTCCACGATATTGTATTGTAAAAAGAACTAGATTATGAATGAGGTGTATAGTGGACTTGACTTGTCTTATACGACAGGCGAAGGTTCTTCAGGACGAAACGTAGGACAGGTGAGTGCACCTGCTAAAAAAGCTACAAGTTTCATCATCATCATCATAAGGTCCTCAGTCTTAAGACTGGTTGGAGACGCACATCCACTCTTTGCTATCCTGAACTAATCTTCACATTTCCCTAAAACTAGAACATCCCACCTCCTTCACTATTTGCAAACAGTAATCTAATCTAGGTCTACCTCTACCCCTCCTATTGTTATCGATATTTTTGCCCAGCACTGCTCTCTACCACTGCTTCATAACTTGGTATCCACTTTGATCTCAATTTTAGCACGTTAGTTAGATAACTTGGCCTCCGTTTTACGTTTATTACACTAATATTTCCATACGGTCATAATTTGTCGGTTTTTGATCAAACCAAATATTTTCCAACACAACCATCATGTTACAGTTGTAACCAACTTGATTGCGAATAAAAAGCATGCATAGTANGAAAGATACATCCATAATAGAGTTGTTATTTAACGTTACCTTTTTTTTACTTGAAATTATTAAAAAATAAAAATTATGTGATGAAGACCACAAATGCTTTCAAATGTTAATTATTTCCTACTATATATGGTCCTAAAGGTGAGTCTTAGTCTTCGTCCTTCAAAAGGTTCGAGACTAAATTTGGATAAAAGAACAATTTTTTTGTTGATCGCACATTGTTAAGTCGTTTGTAAATTTTTACTATATAAAATGAAATTACACTACAAAATACTGCAAGTTGACCCTCTAGATTGCGCTGTTATGTCCTTTGCGTAACTGCAGACGTTTCGCTATGCATCTTCAGCTATGTCTGTAGTTATGTAAAGGACAAGGCAGCGCAATAAAAAAACTCAATCTTTACATACGATTGAAGGTTTGTAAATATTTAATTCAGTTAACAGTTACAGTTTCTAAAGTCAGTGTCAAATAGTGATGACTGTCCCAGTCTTGATATTGGTTTTGGTCTTGCTTATTCGGTCTTGGTCTTGCTCAGATAGTTCTAATATTGGTCTTGGTCTTGCGTATTAAGTTTTGGTCTTGCTCATTTAATCTGATACTTAAGTTTTTTTTAATAATTCTTCTAAGCAAAAATTTTTCTATTTACCGACGCTATAATTGTCTTAAATTCTGAAATTTTTCGCGAACTTGTATGACTTTTAAAGAAAATAGTGTCGATAGTTATGAAAACTCGAGAAATTACCCTCCCGCCAACGCATAAATTGACCTTTTAGTGAACAAAATAGTAGAAGGTACTTGAAAGAAGTAAAAAATTTCGGTAAGAATTTTTTGACTCAATATTTCAGTCATGTGTTAACCGGATGTAGGAACAAAGAACACTTACTCCGAGGACATTCTTGTGAATCTCTTTTTTCAAACAGTGCTAAAGTTTCTTTTTTTTTGTCTTGGTCTTAGCCTTTCTAGTATAAAGACAGTCTTTTCGCAAGATCAAGTCCATTTTGTTCATCATTACAAATCATCATCACATCACACCAAATTGAGAAACTTCCCGAGATAAAAATGTTCAGTCTGTCAGAGTCTCTAAAAGCGAGACTCGAGTCTCCGTCTCTCATCGAGTCTCTCTGGTGTCTCTCATCGAGTCTCTCTGGTGTCGCTGAGAGAAGCTGGCGAGAGACTGTCAAAAAACCTGTTTAGCGTCTCTGAACGAGAGACTCGAGTCTCTCAATNTTGTTTGAAATAATACGAGGATAATGAGCATAATGTGAATAGAAAAGGTTAGACGCAAGGAGGCATTCGATACAATATGAGAACAAAGGGCTCTACGAAAATTAATGAGGAAAAGGAGAGATAGGATGGTACAGCACTTTCTGAGAGCCATACTAAAAGGGTTGTAACCAACTTGATTGCGAATAAAAAGCATGCATAGTATTACAGTTCCATGTATGTTACGGTACATGCGTCCGTCAGTCGAACAATAAACGAAATCCCAGCGTTTAAATAACATTCAATAGTATTTCTGAGGTTCAATCATTCGCGTAAACATCAAGCATTTTATCTACATGTCCACCACTCCATGCATTAATTATTATTCACTTCTCTTTATGAACAAAACAATAAAATACTAATATGGTAGCTCAACGCCAATCGGCAGTACAACTAATAAAGCATTGATTTAATCACTCCTGTCCCTCTTTGGTGTATTCTAGTATGTCCTTTTGTACAAATAAATACCTATAATTAATTTCTAATGGTCGGACACAATGCTGTTTTATCTCGGCAAATAATACGCCAAACTAACTGGCAAAATACTGTACAGTTTATGTAATATTTAAATAAACAGAATTGATTTTTGTTGTCAGTGGTTTTCGAAGTTTAATTGCCCCTTATGATGGGAATGATATTATATAATATTTAACAGAGAAATTGTTTGTTCAACAAATAAAAAACGAAGCACATAGTAGAAGTGAAACTGCAACGGACAAGTTGAAAAACGAATCGCAACAAAATGCCCAACCACGTGGGGAGCACAGTTAAAAAAACAACAGCTGAGCACAGCACAGGCCGTCGGACTCCAGCGGACTCACTCACCACGCGATATACCGTTTACCCCCTCCACGCGGGAGTAACTCCTTTTTCGTGACAGAAAAAATCGTAATACCCCCCTCCCGTCTATATAGATGTTTCACTACAAAATAAATTCCCTTTTAGCACTTTACTGATCCGTTTACTAAATAACAAGTGAACTTTGAAATGCCGTATATTTTAATTGCATTAGGTTAGTAAATCGAATTCATTACGACATTATGGAGCTGTAGACATCAATATTTGATATTATGTTCAAGAATATAATGCTTGAAATAATTAAATACTCCAATATCATCGATCGGCGTTGATCTTTGATACTAAGAATTATTTTTGTTTCAGAATGATACCATGAGAGTGATTTGGGCGTTCCATAAACAAGAGCCGATTTGTGGTGCAGTAGGACCTGGTTCTTTACCTCGTCACGAGTTAGAAGTACATGGAATTCAGTCTTTATTTCTTGTTCAAAGGGCCGATCAGGACCTTCCAGGTCCCGAAGAAACTGCGAATGTGTGGGAGCTGAGGAATCCTGCGGTTGAACCTCCAGCTCCCGGTGACACCCTGTATTGGTGCAAAGTATTCCGCCTGCCCGTCTCCAGGAAACATCATCTCATAAGGGTGAGTTACAATACATATAACTTATGGAATTTGCAAGGCGTTTATCACCTTTTAAAGTTTCAAACAAGAGGAATTACAAATAATGATATATCTATATTTTTAATCCACAATGAGATTCCTAATTTATATTTTCTAAATTAATCTATTTTTAATAAAAACTGTTCTTTTACGGATTTTGTTGTAATTAATTTAATAAATAATTGAAAAGCATTGAAAGAAGGTAAAGACTTGGCTCAGTCTAAAGTCGTGAATGAAATAAAAAATGTAGCAAAAATTCATGTTTTGTTCATAACTTTTTCACAATTACGCAGAAAATGTGTGGAANAATTAAAAAGCATTGAAAGAAGGTAAAGACATGGCTTAGTCTAAAGTCGTGAATGAAATAAAAAATGTAGCAAAAATTCATGTTTTGTTCATAACTTTTTCACAATTACGCAAAAAATGTGTGGAATCGTTTTTATTCACCATTAAATTGAGCTCGTTATGATACTGATTAATTCAAAGTTTTTTTGAAATCTAAAGGATACTTAGACTTAATTACTTTGCTCTTTCAATTTCAATATTTCTTTTTGTTTCTAATGTCGAGGGGAACATGGGGTTGATAAGTTTTATTTTTAACTTGCAGTACGAGCCTTTGCAAGGAGTTAGAGGTGCTACAAGCGGTTTACAGCATGTTGTACTTTACGAGTGTCAAGATAGTTCCCAAGTGCGCGCCTTGGTTGGAACTCCTGGTAAACAGTGCGACGAAGGTGAACCGTTATCTTGCAGCGCGGTCGTTGCTTCATGGGCTCGCGGTTCCGAAGGTTTCAGTTTTCCGCTCGAGGCCGGTTTTCCCCTTGAGCCGTCGTTGAATCGATACTATTTATTAGAGACTCATTATACCGGTGCAATCGATGATAATTCCGACACGATCGAGGGTTCGGGCTTGCGGTTGTATTATACGCCGGAATTGCGGCGCCACGACGCTGGCGTCATATCTATCGGCATCGACCCCAATTGGCGGCACATTATTCCCCCGCGACAGCACAAAGTGGTGTCATCCGGACATTGTATATCAGAATGTACGCATCGCGCTTTTCCCAACACAGGAATAAATATGTTTGCGGTCGTGATGAGAACCCACAGGATCGGGAGACAGGTTTCTTTGCGTCACGTGCGGGGTAACGCGGAACTTCCACCGATTGCGACCGACGAGAATTTGGACGCCGATTATCAAGAGTACAGGAAGTTGGAGACACCTCTAAAAGTCTTACCTGGCGATCACTTAATTGCCGAATGCACGTACGACAGTTCCGAAAGGTCCGCAATCACGTTGGGTGGATTAACCAGCAGGGAAGAGACATGTCTCGTTATGGGGTTGTACTATCCGCGACAGAAAGCTCTGGCTTCCTGCCACAGTCTCCCCAGTTTGCCCACCGTTCTGCACTCATTGGGAATTCAAGAACTCAGTCCGTAAGTAACATAAACTTTGCAATTTTCAGCCGGAGCACGTGCGACACGTCTAATGAGCATGCAGTAGTGTCGGAACTTTGTCTTTTTCTTCCTGTCCTTTCTCCTTCTCGTTCTATTCGCAATAAACAGACCGATTCTTTGGGTAACGCATGAACCCCGTCAGACATCCGGATTTATTTGCAACGTATCTCGGTTTTGTGTAAGGGTTTCGTGTCACGAATTGATTATCACTTTTTCATTATAAAACGTACCACTTTGTATACAGTACGAAAATGATTTTTTATCATAAATTATATAGAAAGATACATCCATAATAGAGTTGTTATTTAACGTTACCTTTTTTTTACTTGAAATTATTAAAAAATAAAAATTATGTGATGAAGACCACAAATGCTTTCAAATGTTAATTATTTCCTACTATATATGGTCCTAAAGGTGAGTCTTAGTCTTCGTCCTTCAAAAGGTTCGAGACTAAATTTGGATAAAAGAACAATTTTTTTGTTGATCGCACTTTGTTAAGTCATTTGTAAATTTTCACTATATAAAATGAAATTACACTACAAAATACTGCAAGTTGACTTTCTGGATTGCGCTGTTATGTCCTTTGCGTAACTGCAGACGTTTCGCTATGCATCTTCAGCTATGTCTGTAGTTATGTAAAGGACAAGGCAGCGTAATAAAAAACACAATCTTTACATACGACTGAAGGTTTGTAAATATTTAATTCAGTTAACAGTTACAGTTTCTAAAGTCAGTGTCAAATAGTGATGACTGTCCCAGTCTTGATATTGGTTTTGGTCTTGCTTATTCGGTCTTGGTCTTGCTCAGATAGTTCTAATATTGGTCTTGGTCTTGCGTATTAAGTTTTGGTCTTGCTCATTTAATCTGATACTTACGTTTTTTTTAATAATTCTTCTAAGCAAAAATTTTTCTATTTACCGACGCTATAATTGTCTTAAATTCTGAAATTTTTCGCGAACTTGTATGACTTTTAAAGAAAATAGT